TTTCTTCAGTCCTCCTTAGCTGGCTCGACGATTTCTCATAGGCTGTCATCTCCCCCTCATACGATATCCTTCACGTCATTCTCACACAGCAGCTCAACTCAGTCTTTCCCATTTGGGGTCCACTCGATGGCCTGCCGTGCGATGCCATGCAAAGGTCTTCTCAACGTGTGTTCGATCCATATCCATTTTGGCCTACATATTTGTTGGCCAATAGGTTCTCAGTAGGTTCGATGCTACAGTTCCCTATTGCTAATCCTTTCTGGCCATCTGATCTTAGGTATGGAGCCAGCGAACGCGATAAAAGTCTGAAACCTTTTAGAAATGCTTATGTTGACACTTCAAGTCTCTGAACCATATAGAAGCACTGACTAACTTGGCATTAGCGTTGAAAATCCTCCTTATGCTGAGTTCAGTAGATTTCCAGACTGATTTCAGAGTGACAAAGGTTTGTCTTGCCTTTGGTATCTTCATCCATGAACCATGTAGTTTGAAATGATGCTTTCTAGATAAGTGAAAGAAAATTTCACAGTTAGTGTTTGTTACCCTTATTGATTATCGATTGCCGAACTTATCACTTTAAACTAGAAAATTATCGATCATTGGGCTGCTGAATAGTAAGAACCATAGTAAGAACAGCCTGGTTAATTCTGCCCAGTAGATGGGAACACTCAGTGATTAATAATAACACAAAAATGACGAATAACTTTAATTTTGGATTGTAGAAACAAAAAAAGAGATATTGATTAAGTTTGTTTAAAAAACTTCACAAACAAAGTAACCCTCTTTTATTTAACGCAATAAAATTTATTCAAGTATTGGTTTTGTAGGGATTTTGTTTGATTGCATGGAGGATTTCATCATGAGCTGACATCAGTTAGAGAACCACTGGAAAACCTGGGAGTACTGGACAGCTGTTTCATCCTAGTTTGGGACTCTTCATCAGTACGCACCCACTGACAAAATATTAGATCTGATATCTTTTAAATGGCACTTTTGAATTATGCAAATTCTGGATTTCAATATAGCAAAAATATTCATTCAGACATCTAGAAAACACAGAATAATTGAGCAAAGAGTATCCTTTTCGATAAATTCCTCTTCTGGCTCTACAATTATATATATGTTTATATACACAGAATATTCTAGATTAGTAGTCAATAACAATTGTCATATTCAATTATAATTACTGACTATCTGGATCAATTAACACCTGAATCTCATGTTAGTTGTAAATGTGTGTTTTCTCCTAGATTAAAATATGCACCATTGTAACTGTAACAATTGACAAAATCCCCTCTAAGCTACTCACTATTTCTCCCCTTTATACCTTTTTACTCTGGAGACTAGGTAATGGAAACTTAAGTGTAATAGTCCATGCATCTTGGTGACTGGATTATATTTTCTTTCTTATTATGAATACGGTTAAATGAAACAAAAAAAGCGAAACATTGATGGATGAGCTTCGACACATACATTAAGTTTTGTTGGCTAATTCTTATCCAGAAAACTTTATCAATTGTCACAGTAAGGATAAACTACATCTTGAAAAGACAGTTTTTGTACAAAAGAAAACTCGCTTCATTAACCTGCGATTCAAGCGTGAAAAAATTATGCACTTGACAGCTCAAAGACTTTGGTCAGCCATCAAACGCACATTCGATGCCGCATCTCTTTCCGTCACATCTCGAACATTTTCGATCCTTGTACCTACGATTAAAGGACGAAATTCTGTGAACTCTACTTCAAACTGTATCTACAAGTTTGCCTGCAGTTGCGGTGATACTTATATAGAGAGAACCAATAGTATGTTCCAATGTCGTCAAAAAGAACATCTTCCAAAATGGTTATTAAGACACATAGAAAATCCTGATGCAATTATTCTGAATGGAAATCCATTGCAAAGCACCTAATAACCTCTGGTTACAAAATCAATATTAATGACTACTTCAAAATTATTTCACATAACTCTAATTCAAGGTTGGTTATTAAAGGTGATGGAAGCACTTTGGAGTAATCACTTACAGCTTAAACTATGTGTACAAAAATACAACAAACTTCAACCTTCGCCTACCATGGACTACTTGACCTATTTAAATATGACTAGTCATTAGTGTGTACTTTTGTTGCGTATAACGGAGCAATTGTCATGCATTTTATTTTATTATTGTGGGCCATGTTAGTTGTGAAGCGATTTTAGAGAAACTACGAAATAATATCATCTTACGAAATTTGTCTTCTAAACGCCTTATTCAAAAATTAAATAGTAATTCTGAAACAATACACTGTGTTTTTATCAGATCAATTTATCTAACATGGAATTATATTCTACCACAGTGCTTGAATTCTACTCTTATATCAATTATACCTGTGGTCTTCCGGTTTGAAGAACTACCAGTAAACTCACATGACTGTCAGAGAAATAAGCGAGATTCATAAATCGTCTCATTTTTAACATTCCCAAAAATCTTAGACTTCATGAAGCTTCTGTTTAATTTGAATTTGACAAATACTTTGGTGGTATTTATTTGATAATCTCAAATAAAGTCACCATTTTGTTTACGAAAATTGACACACTCACTTTTCAGAGTAACGCAAAAGCGATCGAATTCAGATCTTATAGTTCAGCTAATGAAATGCAGATATGGTAACACGACTGATGTTATTATTATTTTATTATTGTTCCCTTTGGTTCCGAGTAAAACATAGGACTACAACAGCACGTCCCCATTTTGTCACGTTCTCTGCAATCCTCTTCAGCTGGCCCCAAAGTTGCACACAAGCTTTCATTTCGTCCTCAAACGATCTCCTCCATGTCACCCTCCGTCACTCAACTCGTCGTTCTCCACAGGGGTTCTACTCGATAGCATGGCAGGCGATGCCACTCGACGGTCTCTTCAGAGTATGTCCTATCCATCTCCATTTTCTTCTACATATCTGTTGATCAATAGGTTCTTGGTTAGTTCCTTCCTAGGATTTCTTGTTGTTAATATTTTCTGACCATCTGATCTTTAGTACGGAGACAGCGAAGACAGCTGTTGATGAAAGTCTGGAGCCTGTTAGAAATGCTTTTCTTGACGCGGGAAGTTTTGGATACAGATAGAAGAACTGACTTAACATTGGTATTGAAAATCCGAATTTCGTTCTTTATGGTGACTGCTATTAGTTTATTTCAACTACGATTAAGACTTTAGTGCTTACAACCAGTTCCCTTGATTACTCTGTAACAAAACAAGAATGAATACATTTGCAATACAAGAAGAGCTCATTTTATTTCATGGCTTTCCTTTAGCTGCTAAAAACCCCAAAGCAAAAAGGTTATTGTAAACAAATATAACTATGTAACACATTCTACCGCTGAAAAAGAAGGAAAATCCATAAATTTGACTACACCAATAGACCAGTAACCGCGCATACAAGATCGAGAAAAATCTCATTAGGCAGGAAGAGAGAAGTAAAAGTTTAAGATATGTGAAAGTGAATACACACATTTTATGTATAGGCAAATTATGATTTCATGAGAACATTACAGTTACTTTACCTCAACAGGTGGATTGCATGAAACACACCTGAGATTATTTCGTCAATCTGGCATTAGACTGGTACATAAACTAGAGAAATCATTACAAAATCCACCCTGCCGAAAGAAGTTAAGACAAATGTTATCTGAGAAATCAAATGTAGAAACTCCGCCATAACACTATGTTGTCCGTCCAAGTCTTTGACTTGCTCAAAAGGATTTATGAACATCAACTAGCAATAAGGGAGCACTTTGCTTCATCCTTGGTCTCAATATATGTATGTAACGACAGAAGGCAAGAGTCAGGCAACAGATCATTTATTAAGGAAATCAAAGCATATTTATATATTTTCATGTACATTACTATGGATAGTTAAGCAAACAAACACAGTCTTCCGATTGGTTGTTTCTCACGTAAAGTTAATCTTTCATCTATTTGTGACTGTTTCTTGAATGTCAAATCCTCTATATGTTAACTGCATCCACCTACGCAAAGTCTGCTGTGGTTGGTTTTGAATCAATCTTTGTTCACATTTTCTCACGACAAATCTTGGGAACGTAAATATTGACGTAAATTACTGTCTACCAATTTGGCTAGTAGACAGCTCTCACCACATGTAGACAATTATCATTACAATTTCAACTGGGAGCATATTATTTTCTTCCGAAGTGTTAACACATAGCCAGTAAGGAAATTCTTTGAATCACCGCATTCAAATGAATCTGCAATCAGTAGACCCCATCTACTGGTTATTCAGCAAGAAGATGAATCAACCCTTACCATTATGCCACTGACACACTGTTTTCCAACCTGAGAGCATCTAATTGAATTGAATTTATTTCTCTGCCACCCGACTGGTCTTCTATTTGCTTTGGATAACATTAATTCATTTCTCTTGTTTCTGTCATTTGCTGTTACATAGTTTGCTAACTTCTGCTTTCGGCTTCCCACTAGAACCCCAGGTTAACTGCCTGAATATGGCCAGTCACTAGTGAGCATCAGATTAATTTTCAAGTATTGGTTTTGTAGGGATTTTGTTTGATTGCATGAAGGATTTCATCATGAGCTGACACCAGTTAGAGAATCACTGGAAAACCTGAAGGGAGTACTGGACAGCTGATTCGTCCTAGTTTGGGACTCTTCATCAGTACGCATCCACCGTCAGGGTTCGAACCCAGGACCTTCTGGTTACAAGGCGAGCTCGTAGACCATTGAGCCACTGGGACCCTATCCAATGGGGTAGGGTACAGCAGGGTAGGGTAGGTAAGCAGGTTGAAGATGAGGCAGTAACTCATCGAAGAAGACATTGCGAAACTTCTGCTTTCATTTCAAGTTCTTTGTTATCATGCCAGCATGCCTATTCACTTAATACGAAAGTTAAGTACATATTTTGTGAGCTTAGTATACTATTCGATTTTAAAAAAAATGTTATTTCATTTCTATAATTACACTGTCAATATCTGTATAAAACTTTATTTATAGTCAGGATCTGCATACACCTATACATATGTGGCCAGTGGAGAGTTTCTTGCATTCATTGTTGGATGGTCAATGATATTAGAATATGTTCTGTCTGTAGCAAGTGTTGCACGTGGCTGGAGTGGTACAGTCGATGCAATGTCACAACATGCAATTAGTAATGGGACAAAAAGTGTCATTGGAAGGTAAGGCATATGCATTACAATATTCTTTGTTCATATTATTAACATTTCTTCATTCATAAATGAAAGATTCTCGATAAAATTTTAATACATTTTTCTTCATAAGATGGCTTCAGTAAGCATTTACGGGGACTTTAAAAATAGCTGTCTATACGTACTTGGGAGATGGACATATGAAGAGGTGGTACAGCTCTATAACAAATTTTGGATATTTGGAGAATGTCTGAAAGGGATATCTGTCTAAGCCGTTGGGACATCAACTCAGTATTAAATACTAAAGCACTAGCCACAAGACCAATGAGCCATGACAGTTAACTTTTATACAGTGGATATCAGTTGGTATTAACTGAACCTTTGAATTTCCCGTTGTTTACCTTTACTGGATCAAAGTGATCTGATGTACAGCATCAAAGCTGGAAAATCAGAAGTATTACCAAAGCAACAACTAGGAACAGATTTGTTCATACAGTCTGACCATTTCGATTCATTAAGAATTAATAGTGGGAAATTTGAAGTTTCCACAAATATATTTGATAACAGTTAACAGCAATTATGAGTAAAAGTACAGTTTTCTTCCACGTGTTTTATTATTATTAGATGGGACATTGTGATAATAGAAACAGGATCTAAACGATTAGAGGGCAAAGTTAAACTTTAAGCACCACTAACTACCAATCAGCAAATGACCTCGAACGCACCAATCACGTGAAGGAGGCATTTTTGTGTATGAAATACATATATTTATGAAATAATGCATAAAAACTGTAGAAAAAAGTTACAGAGGATACCTCGCTCTTACATGTGAGAAAAATAGCTCTCAATTTTAGATTGGTGTATCAACAGAATATAATTCCATTGTGGGTAAAATTTATTTTGATAAAGTCTCATAGTGTAACAATAATATTTCCTGAGCAATAAATTGCAAGCCTGACTGATAGAATTCAGTCTGCACCAAAGAAACGACTAGACACATCGCACTAATTACTAGTGTCCAATCAAAGCAATAAATTATACTCGAAACGTCATCAGTAAATATTACTGTATAACACTGTGAAACTTTGTCAAAGTAAATGTTACCCACAATGGAATTATACTCAACCACAGTGCACAAGTTCTATTCTTATATCGACAGAGTAATTTAACCACATTCTATGCATGTAATTATTGAGGTCTTCTAAACTTGACAATAACCCTAATCTTTCCTAAACCTAACCCTAACGTGAAAATATCCTTAAACTCACTGTAATCTAACTCGAACCAACCCTCATGTCGCCTTTATTTGGTTAACCTAACCCTAACTTGTCCTTGGCTTAAACCGTAACTTAATCTTTCCCAAACCTAAACTGAAACTTTCCAGATATCCCATTTAAAAGCATAATACTTCGATGAGCATATTTTATTGATGATGACAGCATTATTTGCCAAGTTTCACTAACTTGCTCAGCAGGCGTTTCAAGGTGATTGGTGCGGTCACACTCCATTGGTAGTTAGTGGTGCTTAAAGTTTAACTTGACCGAAATTAGTTGTAAATCAGACAGATGATAGAAGTTGTCAAGTAATTAGGGTTCAAATGTCTATACAATGTAATATAAATGAACAAAACTCAAAATTCCTCTTTGTATACGATATTCGTATACCACTTACTGTGGGAATAAGAATGAAATAGAATTCACGAAAAGACTGTAATGACTAAGTTTGTCAAAATCTGAGATACAGACGTTTTTTATCATTATTGTAATACAACCCTGTTTCATTATATGAAAGAAATTCGAAATATGTAGATATACAGACATTTTGTGAAGACAAATTCACTGAACAACCCATAAGTGAATGATAACACATTATTAAGAAATTGTGTTATTTTCTAAAGAATTCTAATTTTGTTCAGCATTATGATGAATAGAAATGAAGATGTCTGCATAACAGATCAGTATATTTCAGTCGGTTGTACGATGTCCAAAACAAAATAAATGTATGCTTGTATGAATGTGACTCTAGAAGATAAACACGTTAATTACTTCGCTTTATGAATTCTAGTGATTTGAAATGCTGATGAGAAGTTAGGCGGGGTATATGATACAGTCGTCTATTCTTTATTTTTATGGATTTACGAAATTTTTTGAGGAGGCATATATTCAAATTATTCTGAATATAATTAAAATAAAGTATGTGTAGCCATTATCATAATATTCACTGTTTCTTATTGCATGAGTTTTTATGTATAGATCCAGAGTCATCCAATGTCACCAGTTCAATGATAAATTCGGCTATTACAGCTATAGTTAAACCTATTTCTATGATACTTGTAGATCGTGTAGCTCCTACGAATATCCAGCATATTGACACCAGTTATAGTTTATCTTCCTCTTATTATAAAATGGAATTTCAAGTGTGATTATGAGTTGGCACTAACTGGAATAAAGGAGTACTGGACAGGTATTTCGTCCCAGTTTGGGACTCTTCATCAGTACACACTTATTAACCCGATAGGGATCGGAACCAGGAACTTCAGGTTAGAAGGTGATCTCGTTGACCATTGAGGCACTGGAATGACATTCAATAGCCCATGAATTCTAACTTCTAGCGTTACCGTTCGTCTTGTAACTTGAATGTCCTGGTTTCGACCCCTGCTAGGGTAAAATAGCCGTCCGGTACTTCATGGTTTTCATTGGTTGTGTAACTAATGTCATCTAGCGAACAAAATCTGAAATCAATCAAATCCCTGCAAATCGACACTTGAAAGTAGAATTTTAACTACTTATTTTACGATACATTGTGTGATGGCACTTGTTACTTACTTTCATTACTTCAGGCGGTAATAAAACTTTTTATTTGTCATTAACAAGACTAAAGTGAAGCCCATTAGGCTGCTGGTTTATGGTTGATATTATCATGTCTTCGTTTGTCGATCTAGTGAACATCTGAACGACCAGAAAGAAAATAGTGCATCTTGTCTAGTTGCCTTGATAGTATCACTATCTATAATACTTACATGCTGATAGTAGGTGAGTTTTTGTTTGATGAAATACAAGTCACCTCGGATAGTGGACTACATATTCAAAAATGTGAATTATGAATTACAGTGATAATCATCTTTATATGCTACTTAGTTGTACAACTAGGTGAACATTTTCATTTCATTTCTACAGAATATGTTTCCACTAATAATAATCATAATAATAATAATAATAACAGTAACACCTTTTTTCTGGACACTACAAAAATCTCAGCATGTTTTATTGCGAAATATTAACTGTTTGTACATAATCTTTAAGTGGAACTGATTACATTTTCAAGAATAGTGGATGGTAGATTTTGTGAAGCCATAAATAAAAGCATATAGTTGAAATTTTAATCACGTTGAGTGAACAGAAAAAACATTTGAAGAATAAGTTGGAAAACACTTAATGTGCTTCATGGTAACTATTAGTGGAATGCAGGATGTGTATTTCGTCCTACTTGGGACTCGTCACTGGATGCACACGCATTACCAGTGAGTGATGGTGTTTCCACTGAGACTCAGACCCTGCACTCATTATTTCAGACACTGAAACATTATCCACTAGGCCAATAAGGCCATAAGAACCACCTCGTGAGCAATAGGTACAAGTTATTATTTGTTTTTAGGCTAATTTGCATTTTCCGTTGATTGATTACGTCGGGCCGAAATGTAGACACCTCAACGATGTCAGAGGATCAACGTGAATTTATTTTGGCTGATGATGACTAATAATGGAATCGAGGATGCTCATTTCGTCCTGCTTTCGTCTTAAATGTAACCTGCGTAACAGAAAGCCTGAGGTAATACCGAGTAAGGCTTTAGAAATGGACAACAATATACACTAACAAGGAGATTTTAAATGTCAAATGCTTGTCACTTGTTGGTTTCTTTCGTTGTTGTTTTTCCTTATCACCTGAATACATTTCTTAGTAATTACAGACACTCCCTTGTTGCATATACACGCTAAAGAGAATAAATGAAAAGTAAGCAGATTATTTATCCGGCTAACTATTGACCAAAATTGGTACTCATATTCTGAATTTCCATAAACAGAAACCATACGAATAACTGAGATTTGTTCACTGATAAACTCTTCACGGTGTGTACAGGAAGAAATGATTATCTTAAAATACTGAACTCTTATCGACAAACCAATCGTGAACAAAACTGCCAGTGAATAACTTTGAAGGAATGAAGACAGACTGACAGTTTAAGCCCTATGAATTGACAAATAATATCGACCGCGAGAAAGAGAAAAACATGCATAGCTAATATGATTATCCTTATCTAAATACAGCCATATTCTAGTCGTAATGTTCTACGAGCTGGTGTTCATCGAAATTAAAGTTTTAAAGGGATTCAAGTCTTTCTTATCAGTGTGCTTTTAGAAACTTTGAAGAACATTAGATTGTGGAGCATTTCAAGTAGAAAATCTCCACTCTGAAGTACAATTATTCTTCATCGCTTCAGACAGGGTGACAATATGAAATAAATTACGTTCAGAAGATAGAAAACCAGAATGAACTCAATTTACATTTGTGTCTTATTTTAAAATGACCTCCTAATGTCGCCATATCACTAATGATATGGGTACATTAATAAATTTTGCTTATAAATTCATTTTATTATTCATTATTTTCTTTTAAAACATCTAAAAAAATGTTTATGACTGTTATTTATCGCATGTATACTGTTTCCTAAATGGACTGATGAATTCAGTTTCAAATATATTTCACTCCTTTCTGTAATCAATAATGAACTGCTCTCATAGTGAATGAAGTAATAGAATCAAATTATTGAATCTGGTCAATAATCGATAACTGTTGTAAAACGGACAGGCAAAGCTTACCACGGTTAACCAATCATAATTATCCTACTGCTCATAAAAAATAATAAGGAAATAGTTTTTTTCGCCTCTGAAATAAAACTATGCTCATTGGTTTGAGTTGAATATGAGGTTACGGCTGTGAATTCATTCGTTGTTTGCTGTAAAACGAAGTTCATATGCAATAAAATGAGTTTTTTTTCTTAGCTCATAAAATGCAGAAATATTGTTTTTAATTAATTAAGTTTTCATATCATAAACACCAAAAAGAGAATAGAAGCACACTACTGAATACAATTAGTAGTTTAAGATTTTTCGTATACATTTTCTTGCAGAAGCATAGTCAGTGGGAGAAACATTGTAAACCAAGGAAAAATCCAAATTGCTAGGTCTTAGTTTGAGGACAAACAGAGCGACAAACAGTGGGCAATGAAGAAACAGGCATAAAATGGACTCACACAAAAAACTTGGAGGATCTGGACTTCGCCGATGATATATGTCTGATTTCCCACAAACTGGAAGATATGCAAGCGAAAAGCAACAAGTTGGCAGAAGAAGCATTAAAGATAGGACTTCAGGTGAACATAGAGAAAACACAGGTGATGATTCATGGACAAGAACGACAACAACAGACAACGATCAGCATAAATGGAAGGAACCTGAAAGAAACTACCTCCTTTACCTATCCGGGAAGCATCGTTTCAACTACACGCGGAACTGACGAGGATATCAAAGCAAGAATCGGAAAAGCAAGACAAGCTTTCACTACTCTCAAGTCTGTGTGGAGGTCAACAACACTCAGCATCAAAACGAAGATAAGATCCGGATTTTCAACTCCAATATAAAGTCAGTGCTACTATGCGAATCAGAGACTTGCACTGCTCGTCATAAAGAGCATCTCAAACAAACTACAGACCTTCATTAACAGTTGTCTTCGCTCAATACTACTCAAGATCAAATGGCCAGAAAAGATCAGCAACAGGGATCTCTGGGAACGAAGCAACCAGGAACCGATTGTGTAAGAAATAGTCAGGAAGAAATGGAGATGGATTGGCCATACTGTAAGGAAACCATCAAGTGACATCACTGGACCAGCCCTTGAGTGGAACCCGAAAGGGAAGCGGCGAGTTGGTCGTCAGCGCAAGGGTGACTTGGAGGATGTCGTGTGAAGAGGAGATGAAAACGTGTGGGCAGACTTGGAGCCAGGTGAAGACTCTAGCAGAGAACCGTACGGAATGGAGACGCACGGCTGAAGCCCTATGTTCCTCTAGGAATTAAAGGAGATAATAATAATAGTTTGAGGATCCTTAGTAATAAGAAACTGGATATGCCCCCATCAAGTTATAATATGTAGATTTTATGCCACATCCACTCGTTGGGAATCGAGTGTTCTATGATTTCCTACTTCTGATGACTGGTTGCTTAGAGTAGCCACCTATTATTATTAGTCCCTTGAGTTCCGAATGGAACGTAAGTCCTTGGCAGCAAATTTCCACTTCACCCTGTTCTCAGCAGTCTGATAGGTAGTTAGTTCTACGACTGACCATAAGTGTTCATTTCCTCCTCCCATGTTCTCCTCCATGTCACCCTCAGACGCCCAACCCGTTGTTTCCCATACAGATTCCACTCTAGGCTCTGACATGTGATGTCACTCAATGTTCTCCTCAGTATGTGTTCAATTCCTCTCTATTTCCCTCTGCATATTTGTTGGGTGATATGTTGACCATATATATATATATATATATATATATTCTCTAATTAAGCATCATTTGATGGACTTCTTATTAGATGTTCAAGAAGTCCATTTCTTAGATAATTACGGAAGAGAGAAATAGTAATAATACTGAACAAAAAACATGGGAGTATTGTTCTTCAATTTCATAAAAAATTCCTGATGAAATCTGCCTTCAAGTCAGTTGACTTCCTCTGAAAAACTTCATAAGTGGATATACTGCTAGTGTGCATCGGTGGCACAGTGGTTAGGACTCTCGCCGACCATGCACATGGTCAGGGGTTCGACCCCCTGCCGACGCACACCCGATATCCATGGTCGGCCTGCAAAATTTGGGCTACCAATATCCATGCTGAAAATTCCATACTTGTACTAAAAATACGGTATGGCATCAAGCTGTAATCAAAAATTAAAAAAATTAAATTATTGTTAGACGATCCAGAATGAAATCTTGTTTAGTAAAACCATGGTGGGGACTATCTAATCATTTTTTAATACTCCTACACCAAGTTTTCTCATTATTTATTTAATAAGGAACTATACAAACAAATTGATGTTGTGGCAATGGGGTCACCAAAGGACCCATTCTAGCCGACAATTTCCTTGCGAAACTAGAGAATGGGCCTTTAAAAGATGTAATTGATGAACTAGAATTCTGCTATTGGTACACGGATGATACATTTTTGATTATGAAATATGCAGATAAAGCAAAGAACATCCTGGACAAATTTAACGATGCTCATCCTACAATAAATTTTACCATCGAGAAAGAAAAGACTCTAGTATTTCATTCCTTGACGTCCTTATGACTAGAAAAGAGGATAGCACAATAAGAAGAAGTGTTTATAGAAAACCTACATCAGCTGGTCAGTATACTCATTTTTTCAGCTTCGTGCCTTTGAAATACAAATGCGAACTAATAAAGTGTTTGATGGTCCACAGAACAATCTGCTCTGATGAATGTCTTAATTGAGAGCTTAATATTATTAAACAGTTGCTGAGTGAGAACGGTTATCCAGAAAAATTCATCGATAAGAATATGAATCAAAAGTCAAGGCAGGCCAAGGTACCAACAGTTCCGAAAAAGGACCTCATTCTTACAACTTCAATTCCTCGTGGATAACATCAGCGATATATTAACACAATGCCTTGGGAATGCGGTAAAAAGAGCATTCACTGCTGCTGAAGTATGCTGTGTCTTCAAAACCATCCCTATTTTGCGTTCGGGAGTAAAAGATAAACTGCTCCTGTGAAGCCAGTTACATAGGCCATACAATTAGGGGGTTTTTATCGTTGGATTTCCCAACATCATCCCGTGTGGTTAAGTAAAGGACAAACAACATTCATTCATAACTTTATTCTATCTCATCTCATGGATACAGAACACAAGATTGATGTTAACGAGGTTTTCAAAGTCATCTACCGCATACCAACTAATCTTAACTTCACCTTAAGAGTTCGTCTGCTGCGTATTGCTGAGGCTGTTGAGATTCACATTAAGAAACCTAAATTATGTGTCCAAAAGAAGCTGGTTCAGATACTGTCCTTACCTTGCTAATCAAGGTTTTAATGATCCTCAGTTTGTTGTGGAAATTTCCTTAATTTTATTTGATATTCTATTTGCTATTACATTTTTATGCTTATTCACCTGTAATTCCACTGATGTTACTTAACAAATCGATGTTGTTTAAAAAACACCAATATTGTTATTGACGATTATTCTAGAGTATTCTATTGTGGTGAGTGCTACTGATAAGATTTGTCAGTAGTATGTAAAAAGACTTTCTTCGTGATACAGTGTTGTGGAGATACATGGGAGACGTGAAAGCACCACAAAGAAACACAATATGAAGGCCAGAAGTAGCACAACACGAAGATCTGTGCAAATGGTGCGTTGAAGATGAGGTGTACATAATTTGGCTATATAGAGATATCAATTTCCTGATAGACACTCCTTTACCAAGTCTTTCGTCTTCTATCGTTTCCCTATGTATATAAACATATATATATAGATTGTAGAGCCAGAAGAGGAAATTATCGAAAAGGATATTCTTTGCCCAATTTTTTTGTTTTTTCTAAATGTCTGAATGAGTATTTTCACTATATAATTCTGTGTAGTTAATATGCATTTCTCATCTCTCTAAGGTTAAGCTTGATTTTATGCCATGCATCATTTTACATAAAGCTATCAGTTGGTTTTCCTTTGACATATTCCTTATATTGACTGAAACCGCTGTTCTATCGCTATTAATTCAAAGATGTTCTCTGGAATTTCACTCTGGTTATCACTAATTCATACCAAAATCTTATTCGAAACAAGTGTTTCTTTATTATATATTCGGCCTTTATTAAACATTAGTCAGCTGCTTAGTTTTTGATTGATATTACAACTGTTTTCTTCATTAGAATCACTCCTTACATAATCATTAATACTCTGTTTGTAATATCGTGTATGAATTCAGTTCAACTAGTAAGCAGTGAAGTATTTTATTTCTGTTGCTTTCTCTTTTAATAGTTTTCCATCGCATGTGGAATTCCTTGGAGACTATCCTGACTTTATTGGCTCTCTGTTAATCATTGTCCTTGGTTTAATCCTATTTCGTGGTCCAAAGTTATCAGCCATGTTGAACACTGTAATAACACTGTTAAATTTAGTGGTCATTATTTTAGCCACTTGCATTATGTTTTCACGACCGAATAAACATGGATCAGAATTTGCACCAGCCAGTCATGGTGGTCTATTTCCATTTGGATTTGGAGGTATGATTGGTGGCGCTGGAACGTGTTTCTATGCATTTATTGGCTTTGATGCTATTACAGTGAGCAGTGAAGAAGCGCTAAATCCGAAAAGATCAATGCCAATTGCTACTGGTGTGTCAGTTGGTGTGGTTACACTCCTGTTTCTGTTGGCTAGTCTAGCTTTAACACTTTTTGTACCATGGTGGACAGTGGATCGACAAGCTGCTTTCACATCTGCTTTTCATATTCGTGATTATGAATGGGCCACATATATAACAGGAATTGGTTCATTACTTGGATTAAGTGCAAGTCTATTTACAAGTATGTATGCTATGCCGAGAGTGGTTTATGCAATGGCCAGTGATGGTTTATTGCCTAAATTCTTGGGTTATTTATTACCATCTACTCAAGTAAGTTATTTAATGTTATATTGATCACTATGGCAACGTATTAAATTTATCTTATTCATCTAAACTAGTTTATCGTATAACCTTCCTTTGTTTGCTTTTCTCATCAACAAGAATACTTGAAAAATCTAATGTCAAATTAATTAACATGTAACAAAAATGAGTTAGAAAAAACTCTTTTGTTTAAATTCATTAAGAGTTTCATAAATAAATAACTTTGTTGCTGGTACCATGTGTGTACTAGCATGACAAAAATTGGAAAGACGACATAACGATTGGAGTTGAGCTCTGTTACAAGAACATCATTTAATTTTAATTCAGGCACAGACCTAAGATTTGTGCATTTTATCAATTAAAACATGTACAATTTCAATAAGGCTTATGCATTGTTATCAACTTGTACCCTGTATCACCCACCATTTCTGCTAAATAATTAACTATTTGGTTAATTTTCTGGCCTAAAACTCAATTTATTGAGTGAGAGGCATAGTATGTCTGCTAAGCTTATAAAAAACCACTAATTAGAATACATAAATCCAAGGATTCCAGACGAATGGATTCATAAATCTAATCTTGGAGACACTGAATATCAGTGACTTTTTTCACCTACGTTCTTGACTATTCTGCATTCTCCGATTCATGATCTTCAGAATGTCTACGATGGAATATAGAGTAGGTGCCGATGGAGAAAAGCCAGTTAGTTGTACGGTAAAATTGTCAAGTTAAATAGTTAACGAAATTATATATTTCAATTTTAATTCATTAAAAATTATTAGAACAATTAGTTGCCTGAAGAAATTGTTCATTTCCAGTACTACAAATTTCAGTAATGGTTGTATGTAGAACTGATTGACCTGCTGTGTTGATGCTTCTTTTTCACTGGCAGTTTACTTGAATTGACAGTTGGCAATTATTGTATATTTCCAAAAAATGACTGACTAATGAGAGCTGTTGAGAACAACTAAGTGGATCCGAAAGCGGACTTAACAGCTAGCACGCATATTTGTACGCCAATCATATCAAAATTAGTTTACGTAAGAATAAGTACATAACAGATAAACATACATTTGCTTTTAACAAAGAATAGACAAAACTAGGTGACAGAAATAAATGTTACTTTTAATTTTTCAAAAATCTGTACAAAATTGTATTTACATTCTCTATAGGTGATGCTACCAGCGCTATCCACCTGTCTATCATTCCTTTGTATTTTGAGTGAAACACAGGGCTCCAGGGTTGAAGCCTTGAAGTCTCAGTAGGTGTTGTGTTGTTTTCACAGGATTCGGTTGCTGACCGCACGGTCAAACTTCCCTCTTTCTCAGACTTACTGTCGGCTAGTAAACTAGTAGGGGTTTAGGAGTGCGTCGGTCGAGGATCAAACTCCAGATCACGTGCGTGGTCGGCGGACGTTCTACCACTGAACCATCAACGCAGTATTACCTACTGTTCACTGTAAATTTGTAAACTTTTTTTAAGTGATTTAATGGAAGAGTATCTGTCTTAATTCCAGCAATTCACTTCATTAAATGCATCAATTGCGTCGGTGACACAGCGGCAGAATGCTTGCCGACCACGCATGTGATTCAGGGTTCGATCCCTGACCGACGCACTCTTTTGTCTCTCTAAGCATGCTGGACACAAAAGTAAGAAGAGGAGCAGACGTTGGCTCAGACCACTATCTCGCACAAGGGACAATCCAAATCAAATTAAAAGCTTTCAGAGAATCAGGAGCTGCAGATAGACCACAAGCCAAGTTGAACACTCAGAAACTGAAGGACCAGGACACAAAGGACATCTTCACTGCAAGCATAAAAGACAAAGCCGAGACACAAATCAACACTGGCGAAGAGGTCAGCGTCGAAAAGCACTGGAACAACTTGGAAACGGTGTGGAGTCAAACCTGCATGGAAGTTCTGGGCAAAAAGAAGAGACAGGACAAACAGTGGTTCACTACGGATACTTGGAGACTGATAGAAGAGAGAAGGATGGTGAAACAAAAGATTCTCCAGTGCACCGACGAGCAACAAAAACAGGATTTGAATGCAAACTACAAGACACTGAACAAAAGAGTAAAGAAGAGTGCCAGAGAAGACAAAAGAAAGTATTATGAAACCATGGCAAGGGAAGCAGAACAAGCTGCAGGCAAAGGAGACCTCGCAACACTCTACCAAACAACTAGGTACCTATCGGGCAAACGTTTGACACAAATCAAGCCGGTGAAGGATGACAACGGAAAGTCACTCACCAAAGAAGTGGAGCAAAGGAAACACTGCGCTGAACACTTCAAAAGACTCCTAAATCGACCACCACCTACAATGCGCCCAACAATACCAACAACGGAGACAGAGCTACCAGTGGACACCAACCCCCCGACGAAATCAGAAGCCCTGAAGGCAATCAAGATGCTAAAAGCTAGAAAAGCAGCAGGACCAGATGGAATCCCAGCAGAAGCATTGAAAACGGACCCAGAGACAACAGCGGACTTGATGACGCGAGTTGGCCATCCAAGGGTGACTTGGAGGAGGTCATTAGAAGAGGAGATGAAAACGTGTGGGCAGACATGGAGCCAGGTGAAGACTCTAGCAGAGAACCGAACTCAATGGAGACGCACGGCTGAAGCCCTATGTTCCTCTAGGAATTAAAGGATAAAATAATAATAATAAGCTAGTAATGAGACTGGTGAACAGGAAAGGTTGAGCATGTGGCCATCAGCCACATCCCGTGGAAATAAACACCACTGCTACTGAAACTCCAAAGCTCTAGCTTGAAGCCCTATAATCCACTGGGAATGTAAAATAACAAAAAATTACACATTAATTAAGGTTCCAGATCACTTGAAAATGACAGTTCGAGGTAAAGACTGTTGCTAAGTATATATATATATATATTGTAGTAATTTATTCTGTTGGTATTTTAGGTCCCAGTTGTTGCACTCAGTTTGTTTGGATTATTCGCTGCTATACTGACACTTTTATGTGACATTCATTTACTGGCTGACTTTCTAAGCATTGGAACACTGATCGCTTACACAATCGTCTCAATGAATGTGTGTATCCTACGTTACTGTCAACCACAACTTTATTCTGGTCAATGGAATGAATTAGAATCAAGTGAAACGGTAATGCTTTTTTTTAAACTCTTTTACTATTTGTGACTTCAATTTCAGTAGTACAGTTTGCGTTTTTATACAGAATATTATCTATACTCCGAAAGAAAACATTTTAAGTGTACAATAAACGTGAAATTAAGAGACTTCGTTAATTTATTTGCCCTGAAGATGGAATCGGTAGTATGGTTCAGCCCAGATGAAATGATGCAAATACGAAATTAGGGGTAATACATTAAATATGCTAAAGTCCCCATTATAAAGCTTTTAACTTCTTGTGAATATTCCTGAATATTAAGAAATGCATTTTTTGACTTCTAACAGTTGCATTCAACACTTCTGAAACACTAACATACTTTCTTCAGTAGGAATCATACTAATTCTGTTAACTACAGTTGATGTTCTTTCGACTTTTTATACGTCTAATTTTTCCTACTCATCCATTAATCTGGGAAAATGAGGCATCTTTAGGAATTTTGCAATTGTCAGTGGTAACTACTCATACTATGTGGTCATTTTTTAAAATTTTGATGTATTTATAACTAAGGAAATCACAGAAACTATACGGGAACGAATTGTTCTTCTAAGATACTGTAAGAGTTTTCAGGAAGTTCCATTTTTAAGACGGCTTTATTTCCAAACATCGGATGTTTACATTTCTTCAGTTGGTATTCATTAATCAGCATGCTTTTACGTTAAACAATATTTTATATGCCTCAATCATTCTTAAATGTTATTTGAAAGTTTCTGTCCACTATTGAGTGCCTAACATTTTAAAAACAACCATGCTAATCTAGTATATTTCATTAGATCCATCTTATCATCTATGATGTGATGCAACTGAAGCAACAAGTTGAAGACCAATTTTACACTAGTTAGTCTTTTTAAATAACAACTGCTTGCTAACTGGGATGAAAAATGGTAACAGAGTTTTTATTTGTTGCTTCTGGAAGGTATTTGACAGAATTATGATTAAGATTTGTGTAATTTCTAATATTATGCTATCATGTGGTTGTGTTCGTTTTCTTGCTTCCCATTTATGTGGTATGGGTTTCTAAAGTAAACCGTGATGAATTTTTATCTTGAGCTGTGTAATTTACAAATTGAGAATTCGATTTTATGAATTGACAGTTCACCCAAGTAGCTAGTCAGAATTTGGCTGGTTTTAACTGATTCGGTCCTATGAGCTGATTCACTCTGGGCACACGGTTGATAATCTCTACTCTAAACGAAAAAAACCACTGTCACGTATTTAAATCACTTCGGTTTATATATGACAGAGAAGCTTTGTAACTCATGTTAATAATTTCGGTGTAGTTGTGTTCAATGAGCTGTTTGGTTTGGTGGCAAAGTTAAACTTTAAGCACCACTAACTACCAATCAGCAAATGACCTCGAACGCACCAATCACGTGAAGGAGGCATTTTTGTGTATGGAATACATATATTTATGACATAATGCATCAAAACTGTAGAAAAGTGTTACAGAGGATACCTCGCTCTCACATGTGATAAAAATAGCTCTCAGTTTTAGGTTGGAGTATCAACAGAATATAATTCCATTGTGGGTAAAATTTATTTCGATAAAGTCTCATAGTGTAATACAATAATATTTCCTGAGCAACAAATTGTGCTCGAAATGTCATCAGTAAATATTAATGTATAACACTGTGAAACTTTATCAAAATAAATGTCACCCACAATGGAATTATACTCAACCATAGTGCACAGAGTAATTTAACCACATTCTATGCATGTAATTATTTAGGTCTTCTAAACCTAACAATAACCCTAATCTTTCCTGAACCTAACCCTAACGTGAAAATATCCCTAAACTAACTGTAATCTAACTCGAACCAACCCTCATGTCGCCTTTATTAGGTTAACCTAACCCTAACTTGTCCTTGGCTTAAACCGTAACTTAATCTTTCCCAAACCTAAACTGAAACTTTCCAGATATCCCATTTAAAAGCATAACACTTCGATGAGCATATTTTATTGATGATGACAGCATTATTTGCCAGGTTTCACTAACTTGCTCAGTGGGTGTTTCAAGGTGATTGGTGGGGTCGCACTCCATTGGTAGTTAGTGGTGCTTAAAGTTTAACTTGGCTGGTTTAGTTGAGAAAGTTTCATTGTCTTTCCAGACAACATCCTCAGCACATGTTTCGTTCTGGAGTAAGAGGAAAAAACTACACCAACATTACTTCGATTTGGCTAGAAAGAGTTACTAGTTGACCTGAGTAGTTTCCAACTATTTATATCAATCGATGGTATATACCATCATGAGGATCAGAATTCATCTTTTCAGACTGTTTCATCCGCTGACATAACAACCTAATCGCAGTTTCTTACTAGAAAGAATAATTTAATCATAGACACCCAGCTATCTGCGTTAAGTGATTCACTTGTTCAACTTCCTTTACGTTTATTACTGAGATAGGGATCGAACCCGGACCATGTGCAGGTCGGTGAGCGCCTAACCGCTATGCCACCAGAGGGAACTTTCAACTGGTTTATTTCATAAAGAAACCAATGGTCAAACCTCTACACATCGAAGCAGTAAAGAGAGAACACCGTAATGAGACAACCATGAAACGCACTATATTTCCAAAATAATATTTCCATTATTAATAATACTAACTCTATTCCTAAACAACCCATATGTAAACTTTTGAACGTAAATAACAAAATAATACAAGGTGGGTTGGGAAATCATTTGCTATTGCAACTTTTTAACATACTTTTATCATATAAATATTAAATGAATTAAATATGGCTGGATTTTTGTAATTAGTCACACGTGCATAAAACTTAAGTTTATTTCCTTCCGGCATTCCTACAAAAAATTAAATTAGCTTAATGCAGCAGTTAATATGCTTGTCCACAAATATGTTTGCCAGCAGAATATAAAAAAGTGTACAGCTAACACAACTAAAAAGATTCAAAACTGTGAACAATGAGATAATTTTTTTCGAAGGATTTAGACTGAATATAAATGAGAACCGTATGTATAGGGAGGTTAATCACTGGAAATAACAATGACAGAAAAGTAGTGGCTGAGAAAAACAGGAAACTCACTACTATAAAAGGGCAGCGTTTTCATCAGACAAGGATGATTTACTTCTGTTGTCAGAATTCCAGTAGTTTTCTTTTTTTGTTTCTAATTGTTCCCTAGAACATGTGATCCAGGGTGCTGATATTAGTTTAACATTCTTAGGCAACTAGATCATCCTACGAATTTCTCTGTTTGAATTTCTTATCCACTGTTTTTCTACTAAGCAGTGGAATTATGGTATTTCGTGGTATTGCTTCACAGCTTGCCAAAACATGTAGCCTAATATTTGTAGTTAATTTTTAACTACTGAAAAGTAGTATAAAAGTGTAAAATAAAATTTCATGGGAAGGAAGAAAGTTTGGTTGAGTGCAGAGGTTCTTTTAATTCTGTTTGTTTATTTCTTCACCAGTTGTAGTTAAACTATAGTCATAAGTAAAACTAAATCACTGGGTAGTTTTAAAACGCTACGTTGCTAGTATATCTCATACCTGGGTTGAGTGTACTGTAGTGCAGTGTCGCAGATAAACAGTATCAGTACTACAATTTGTGTATATGGTATAATGACCAAGTAACTCAAATAGTATTCTTAGACCATTATATTACAAAATTATAATATTAGACCTAATCTGTGCGTCATATTCTGTTTTACGCTATTCAGATATATGGTCAGATAAATAGTACTTTTCATTTTATTCCTTTACGTTCCTAGTGGAACATAGGACTTCAAGCTAGACCTGTGGAGTTTCGGTAGCAGTGGTGTATTTCATTTTTACGGCATGGGGTTGATGGCCTCATGCCCAACCTTTCCCCTTTGCCGGTCTTATTACGGGATTAGTGACGTTTAGGTGTACGTCATCCGGGGATCTGAGATGAATAGTATTTGTGACAAAATATTTCACCTTAAAAATAATACTTGTTAATGTGTCAGAGAGTAGCGAGTAGATGATGGGAACTTTGTGATTCAACTGAGAACTGTAACGATCTGAAGCAATGACATCTATTGATGTAATGAGAAAAGCAGTTTGAGAATTCGTCTAGCAGGCATATCTCCTATGTTTATTTAAAAATAAATATTAGTGAAGTCTGTATTCATCTTATGATTGAACCTGTTTGATATCAGATATCCGAGGAGTTAAAGCTGCCGAAAACGGTTATGAATGTTTATTAAATGAATAGCTTGATAAAAAAGTGAAACTACTTGGGTTCCCGTGGTCATTCGATTTACAGAGATTTGTAGTGAGACCTTCTCATGAAATCAAACGAAGTAGGAATTCACCTCTCTGTAGGAGATCTTTTCTTCAAGACTGTCACACACGCTTTATAATATGGTGGATATAAATGTAAACAGATTGAAGACGTTGACTCTTTGAATGTTTGGAATAGGAAGCTGCATACTTTGTTTTCCCTAGTCATGAAACTGAAAAAAGTCCTTGAAAATTAAACTTTGATAAAAGAGTTTCACACCTATGTCCCATTTTCTTTGTGATACAACCAATTATTCTGTTATGAATGTTCACTTTAAAGATATATATACTCCATGGCGTGAAAACCGACTTAACATTAGTAACTAATTGATAATGTCATATGTTCGAAGGAACTTTTATAATCTGCTAATGATAATTAGTACCATATTTGATAGCGGTTGCCTTGATATACAAAATTTCAATATAATTTATTAAACAAACATTTATTGAAAAGTTCTGAAGTTATAAATGTCTGGTTTAACTCTACAACTGCTCAGAGGCATCCATCCATGATTCCTCATTGGCTGGAATTTACAAATGTCACTGTCAGCTGTGGTATGTGCACTTAAGGTTTTGAGTCGCTCACTTAAGTAAGTTACAAAAACAAACAATTGACTCTACACCATCTCAAGTCTCAGTGAATACCTTGTAAATCCACCCATTCAGATAATTAGCACTAGTCACCATTAAATTCAAATGAATACTATTATATTTTGTTACGTCAGTTACCAATGAACTTTCACTGCAAGATTGAGTGAATGACTAATGCTCCAACAATAATTAGTTTTATGCGTTTGCGTGATATGAATATTAGTGAGCATTACCCTGTGTTTTGTAATAATAATTTCTACTGGATACGATACATCAGGCTTCGCTCACTCTGTCTGCATAATAATGGTATGATAAACCAACAGAAATTAAGGGCTACTTCATGTGCATAAACATGTTAAGCACTCATGTTGTACAATAACTCACGAATTGAAATCAGTTATTGTTACTGCAAAGTATACGCTTCGATTAATGGAGTACTGTTTCAGGGCGACAGATCGTATGCAATAAAAGAAGATTCAAAATGAAACTCTGTTTCAGGACTATTTAAAAGCACGGTCAAATTACTCTTTGGTATCAAGTTCTTTAAAATAAGTAAGTAAATCAAGCAAGTGTACTCCTTTTCGATATCCTTTCTTTCCCTTCTTTTTGTCTTTGTAACACATTTCACCTGTTATTGTCTATGTATTCAATGAACAACAATGGTATTACTAACAGCAATACTAATCATTTTCTGTTTATGATATTCTGTATTTTACAGCATTTAAGCATTTCAGCTGATGACCGCTTAACAGATGAGAAAGGGATACATGAAACTAATGAAGCTGAGTTGAGTGAATGGCCACATTCTATTGGACGATTGAAATCTGCTTTTCGTCATCTTCCTATTCTTCGTAATTCAGCACCTGGTTATGCGCCTATAATTTCTTTGTTACTTTATACTATCTGTGCTTTTGGCTTGGCCTTTCTTCTGTTGCCAGGATCACAATATCTACAAGAAGCACGTTGGTGGGCAGTACTTATACTTATTTTGTTCTTGGCTGGAGCTATATTTTTTGTGGTTATCATGTTTTTACATGAACAAAACAAGTCTTTTGACAGTTTTAAGGTATGTTTGTTTTTCTTCAAGTGATTTGCATTTTAATTAAAGTAATAACATTACTAAATATCTAGACTAACTGTTTATATTGGTTTTTAACGATTACTTAAAGACCGGTTGGATTAATTTGTAGTATGAACACTCGACAGTTGAAAGGATTGGTTTTTTGACTTGATTAGTATGTCATGGTCCACGAATGGTCAAACATTAAGGTGTAGTGGCATATACTGAATGTTGTACGTTAATATGCTCGCTGATGTATGAAAGTATGCTTTTCTAACTTCATTCCCTGCAAAACAAGACACTTCATTCTTAGTTTTTGGAAGATTGTAAATGCCTCATGTGAAGGAAGTAAAATATCTTTAGTAGTAAATAAAAACGTGTGATTCCTATCCAAAAATCGTTGATGCTGTCACCAAAACAAAACAAGAGTCTCAGTGGTTTTTTATCGTACGGAAATCATGATAAACCACGCTACCTAACTAGTCGTACTCTTCTTTCAGTAAGAAAAATGACATCATTTTTTCCAAAAAATCTTATAAAATGTTGAAGTGTTTCATACTGTTGGACTGTGTCATGCAATAGGCCATTTATCGTGGTACATTAAACCTTTGGTCCTATGAAATTATGTCAAGTAAGTTAATTTTGCTGGTCACTTGTGTCATGTTGATCGAGCAAAGTTAGTTCCATTTCCTTATTTTTAATTTACAGCACAGTAATTAGTAAAGTAATATTTACTACTTGAGGGCTAAATAGCGTCGGTGGCACAGCGATTAGGACGCTTGCCGACCATGCACATGGTCCGGGGTTCGATCCCCGGCCGACGAGGCACTCCTTTACCTCGCTTAGCCAGTAATAAGACTGGTGAAGAGGAAAGGTTGGTCACGAGGCTAGCAACCCCATCCTGTAAAAATAAACACTGCTACAGAAACTTCAAGCCTCTAGCTTGAAACCCTATGTTCCACTGGGAACGTGAAGGAATAAAAAAAGAGGGCTAAATACTTTTAAATATTACTGGCTACATAAATTTCTGTATGTTGCGTTTTTGGTTACTCTGATTTTTGATTATTAGCCTGCTGTAGACACTAATCAAACCCCGATCTCATCCAATAGTTAGTTGACTTCTCATTGTAGCATAAATTATTCATTATTCACTAGGAAATCTATTTTCAAAAAACTGTTCAACTGGAATCGATAAAGGGGTTGTTTAGGTCTTCGATAAACCACAGATTACTAAAGCTTGTAAAATTAGTGGTGCAGAAGATAAACAAATCAATGCTCTGATTCGAAGTAAAACTCACCTATGTAGAGTTGTGTTCAACAAATCAACAATGACAGATTTTTAGTTTCAGTACGAAAAACATGAATACTGCGTTCTAGTAGTCTAGTCAATATTGCCTTCATAATTTGCAATATCTTTTCTGCATCCAAGTCACTGTGAAAACTCACAATAATACTGATAATTTTATTTAATGAGATTTAATCTTACTATTGAGTGATACTCTCTTTGTTATTGTAACAGTTTAGAGGGTCTTATTGCTTTTTTATTCTATATTTTCAGGTCCCATTTGTTCCTTTGATTCCGTGTTTCTGTGTTTTCCTCAACTTCTGTCTCATGGTAAAGCTGTCACCTATGACATGGGTTCGATTCATTATTTGGTTAGCTATAGGTAAGATTTTCATTGTAAAACACTTTTTCTGGAACTATTTACTCTATGTTTTCTTGTTGTAAACTGTCTTTAAATTATTCGAAGGAGATAGAGTATATTTTATTTGCTTCTATAGTATCACTAAGCTAAAGTTTTTTCTCGTATTATCCAGATATGAATTCATGAGGTTGTGATTCTTACGTGCTACTTATTTCTCTAAAGTAGTTCGGACTAGTTTGCCAAACGAAATGTAGGAATCACTTATTTCAATTTCGCTGAGATTTACACAAATATGGTTTTTTCAGCATATGACTACTTTTCTCTCCTCAGCGCTAAATTATTGTGCAGCTATCCAATCAGATCTTGATCACAGTTCGTATAAATTCTTCCCGTATTTTTATATTTCTCTCGAGAATTCACAAGCTAAATTTTTTTCCCCAATAAAACTTGCCATATGATTTACACACATTTTCCCTCAACACACTAGTTTGAATGAATAGTTCTTCTATGAAGTGAAGAACCAGTAATAATGCTCAATCAGTTCAGTATAATTTAGTTGAGCTGACGATTTTGTATTTCAATATTTTTATAGAGCGGTGGGAGAGATGTCGAGTTGAAAGAATAGATCAATGGAACTAGTGAAATGGTGTGATAAACTGAAATATGGCCTTTTAGAGGATGCAGATATCGACGTTCGCGAGTTGTACGGATTATACTGACGCAAGATCTTATACCAACAACTTCTATAGTGTTCGCTCTTCGAGTACGAAAGATAAAGCAAAAGACCAGATTTAACTGTCCAAAGTACGCAATATATTTCGGGACCAAATCGCGGGTAGAAGTGAATGCTTAGCTAGCTAGTAATCGTGCACGCACGTGACACGACGGAGTACCAAATGGCGGGGATGCTTGACCGGAAGCCTTCAGCTAAACAAGTCGACTTAAACAGTGATGGTCAGCATCCAATGTTGAGTGATGATTGCCGTGGTTAATAATTTTGGGGAATTATTTACCGCTACAGCCTCATACTGATAAAACACGATTTATATCAACCAATATCAAAAAAGAAATATATATATGATATTTTGAAAAGGTCATGTTATTCACAGTCTTTGTTATTTCTCGTCCGTTGCGTCCCAAGTAGAAAATAGGGCATCAGCACCACACTTACATCTTACTCTGTTCTCTGCTACCATCTCAACTCGCTCAGTGACTACCTACAAGCTTTCATTCTCTCTCCATGATCTTCCGCATGTCATCCTCGGACAACCAACCCGCTGCTCCCCATTAGGGTCCTACTTGATGATGGTCTAGTGTGTGGTATCACTCAAATGTCTCCTCACTATATGCCCAATCCACCTTTGTTTCCTTCTGCATATTTGTTAATCAATAGATTCTTGGCTGGCACTGCCAGAATTCCTTGTTGTTTCTTCCGTCTGGTTGGGTTACTTATCTACAGTATGGAGTCAGTGAGGGGGACAGGTGTTGATAAATGTGTCCCATGGTATATATATGCAACCTTTAAACAGTCTAAATGAGGAAAACTCATATTTTATCTAGTCCAGTTAATATTACACTAATCGTTCGCACTTTCGCCTCTGCTATTCATCTCAACAATATACTGAGCATTAAGATTGATAGTATCACACTAGCGTTTTCCAAAAACATAACAGTATCTGCTTTTGTTTTCTCAAATAAGATGTAAGTAGACAAACGCGAATTTAGCTAAAAAACTCATCCAGATTGGCCATGGAAGGCTGATAAGTTTAATCTTATAATACTTGACCCCAAGAAAGGTTACGTAAGTGGGAAACTCGAACCTAAGCAAAAGTGTGCAGTCATCGGTGATAAGAAGTAACACTCACCAAAAACCTTAGTGTCAACTTTCTGTCAGTTGACACTGCTTACCAAGACGTCTGTATGATACCATTTGGTCGGCGAATATTTCCACATTTTTCCTTGACGTCTTTTATACAACTTAGAGTTTAAAAATTACTTCCTAATATCGAACTGGAGTTAAATACTGACTATTTGTAAAAGGGGAAAACTGATCAAATAGCTAGAAAGTGCATAACTGTTCTTAGAATCACAGATGGACCAATCTGATGAGAATAAAACAATTTTGGCCAGTGCATCTTTTTAGCTGACTATGGCAACTCAAAGCTAAACTACTATTTGTATTGCGCACATCGTTAGCGTAAAGCAGTTTGCAGAGTAGCCGACAGTAAACGGATGATATTAAGATAATTAACTATACTGAATTAAGTATGTCTAAATCCTAGTTTACTCACATTATTATGCGTTCCACCCGCCTGGGAACATGTCAGATACCTTAAGCCAGTAAATCTAAATAATTTATTTTTGTGTTTGTTTCATTTTCATACTTTTAGACTGTGAAAAAAATTGTACTGATAAAATTCTCAGAAACTTGACTTTCTCTATTGCTTTATACAGGTCTGATTATCTACTTTGCATATGGATGGAGGCATAGTGTTCATGCTAGTAATCCTGGAGAGTCGGGTAAACTGATCACAGTTCCAAAGATGGGAAGTTTTGATGATGATGTTGCAGGTCCAGGTTTTGAACAGTTTAATAATAATAATGATAATAATACCAACAACAATAAAAACTCACCCAAAAATTATGAACAGAGGGTTGAGTAACTTTTTATGAAATTCCTTCATATTATCAACATTCGTGCTCGTCCTCCCATAATATAAACGTGATATTGTCAATTGTCTGTTTCTGCTTGATTTTAATTAATTGTTTATTTTCTTCAATGAAATACGCAAGATTGTATTGTCCTTCATCAGATTTATCATGCAATTGAATTAAATAATTTATTATTTCAATATTTACCACACTGTGTCTCTTTTGATAATGTTGTCTGTTTTTGACCGAGTGATTTGAGAATTGTGAGTATTTCTGTTCTTGTCTTATGTGTTTAAAGTGAAATATACACATTCTCAGATAAATTTTCTGAATTAATAACCTGTTGCTAACAATAAGTGTTTTGTTTCATTTGCAGTATGACGCAAATATATGGCCTACCCGAGTAATTTTCCTTAATAACCAAGTCTTTTTAATTTGCGTTCAGTGTTCAGTACCTACACATTAAATAGAGTACTGAGTCATTGGGTGTATAGGTAAATTACGTTAAGTAAGGACTGGTAAAATCTAGCTTATTCAACAGCACCACCAGTTCCTTACAATTGGTGAGCCCAAAACTCATTATCTACCACAACTTAGGCCCAGGTGGTCCTTAGTTTAATTTTTTTATTAGTGGTTGCTTTGTTTTTCACCTTCGCATAAAGAGGTTATTTTTATTTCAACGTTTTTCGCTATTTCATAATGGTGACATTTTTATTATTTCATATCATATAAATTACGTAACCGTGGCCGGGAACGACTGTTCTGAGCAGGTAGCAGTTATGCTGAAACTCCCTACCTTCTCGGCGAATTGATCACCTTCATGGTGCTCACATGTTCGCTTGGCAGCGTATTCATTCCCAAGAAACTAAGGCCAACTTAGCAATAGTCAATCTTCATGAAAAAATCGTGGGAGACGTTTCAGATTGTAGTACCCCTATACCAACTATAAACACACGCATTTTAATCTAATTTACATACTTATATTATATGTTTACGCAGACCGATTTTATGTGTACTTCGTAAACATTTGTCAACTTACTGTTGAACGTGACCTTGATATAATTTTTAAAAATTTGACTATTGCAATAATACACGATTACACTCTTCACAAGTGCCTTCTGATTTTACGTTGTGGGCGTCGAGTAGCCACAACGTCTATGCACATCGATAAACGTGAAGGAGTGCTAGGAAATACGTGTACGCTAATTTAGTCAAATAGAACACGCAACAAACTGGTGAGCCCGACGACAACTTGTTGACCTCGACGCATCGTTACACTTGCTGGATTAATAAAACTTTAACCTTCGTGGATCTATATATTTATTAGAAATTTCGAACTCATTCTCGTGCTTCCTCGTCGCACAACCTGCAGTAATTTGCGGTAAGCATCTGCATTGCATGTTTTTCTGTCTTGCCATATTCTTAGTGTGCACAAATTTTGCTATTTTGCTACTCTTAAACCATTTTTTACGAATTGTAACATGTCTTCCAATACCTCTGATAACTTAGAGCTGGGATCTGTTAGTACTATTTCTCTTACTGTACCAGTTTTTAAGCCCAGAGACCCTCATCTTTGGTTTGCACGACTGGAGCATTATTTGACTTGCAATAAGCTCACGTCACAGACAGCTAAATTCGGCATTTTGAGCACACTACTACCAGACGAAGTCGCCGAGCAGGTACGGCAATACATCGTTCATCCTAGCACAGAAGCGCCTTTCGACAAGTTGAAGGAAGAGGTACTTCGATGCACTTCGCTTTCGGATAGGCAAGCCCTCGATCGCCTGCCAAACAATGTTGAGTAAGTTGATAAAACCCCATCGCAACTCATGAGGCATATGCAAAGCCTAGTTGCAGGAAGAGAAATCGATAAACGTCTCTTTTACCAAATCTGGCTGCGAAGACTTCCTGCAAACATCCGGCAGGTTCTTACTTTCGGAGACGACGACAATGACATAGAAAAACTCACCGAAATCGCGGATTACATGTACGAGAGGTCAACACCTCAATCTGTCGCTTCCACTAGCAGAATACCAGACACTCACGACAGGATATAGACGCTAGAACACAAAGTCGACACCTTACTGAGTCAGTTGGCGAAACTGACCACACGCACACAACCAAACCGTTCTAGAAGCTCGTCTCGTCGACGTCTTTCTCGATCCCCTATCACGTCACGACATCGCGATAATATTTGCTGGTATCACCGTAGTTATGGAAGCAATGCACGACGGTGCCATTCACCTTGCAACTTTCAGACTAAACCAAAAGATATATCGTCTTGTGTGAAGACTTCTACTGTCGGCAACCTACTTTCCAACAGTCGTTTGTTTTATGTAACAGATAAAAATACCGGTACTACATTCTTAGATGACACAGGAGCAGAGGTGAGTGTTCTCCCTCCGTCTACACAGGAACGTCAGCATCCTGACCCAGCAGTTACGCTCCAAGCCGTTAATAAGTCCAGTATTGTTACATATGGAAGTAAACTAATGAATTTGGATTTTGGTTTGAAGAATACCTACACTTGGTCGTTCATCATCGCAGACGTTCCATCCCCAATCCTTGGTATCGATTTTCTACAGCAACACAAACTGCTAGTTGATCCGATAAGTCCTAAGCTAATAGACTCGCTCAATAAAACGTACATCGCTGGTACGATTAGCCGTGCATCATCGTTGAACTTGATGGTCACACGCACTCCAGCATCTCCATATACAGACTTGGTAAATCAGTTTCCTGACCTTCTACAACCTTCTTTTCAAGTAACAGAACCAAAGCATCACGTGGTTCATCATATTAAAACCACTGGACCACCAGTTTTTGCACGTCCCCGACGCCTTGACCCACATCGACTTAAAATTGCAAAAACAGAGTTCGATAAAATACTAGAGCTTGGTATTATTCGACCATCCAACAGCTCTTGGTCTTCACCGCTTCACATGGTCCCCAAAAAGTCTTCTGATGAGATACGGCCGTGTGGTGATTATCGAGCCTTAAATAAGCAAACGGTACCTGATCGATACCCAATACCACATATCCACGATTTCGCTAGCAACTTACCAGATGTTAAAGTTTTCTCTAAAATCGATCTTGTCAGAGCGTATCATCATATCTCCATCCACCCGGATGACTTTCCGAAAACCGTCATTACCACACCATTCGGCTTATACGAATTCGTACGCATGCCCTTCGGACTAATGAACGCCGCTCAGACATTTCAACGCCTAATCGACCAAGTGCTCCGTGGTCTCCCTTTCGTCTACGCATACATCGACGACTTACTAATTGCAAGTGCAGACGAAGCCAAACATTTGAAACATGTGAAGACTGTGTTTGAAAGACTTAACCAATACGGCATGACTATCAACTTAGACAAATGCGAATTTGGTAAGACCTCACTGAAATTCCTCGGTCATTTAATCGATAACCAAGGAATCAGACCAGTTCCTGATGACGTGCAAGCTATCAAAGATTATCCGTTACCAGATTCTTTTAAGAAATTACGGCGACTTTTGGGTCTCGTTAATTTTTACCGGCGTTTTATTCCGAACTGTCCTAAAGCTTTACAACCATTAACCGACTGCTTACGTGGACATAGTCGTTCATTCCATTTGCCCGCAGAAGCTGTTAAAGCTTTCGAAACTGTTAAACAATTGTTAAATGACAAGACACTCTTAGTCAGACGCCAAAATGACGCCCCCTGTCTCTCATGACAGACGCTTCAGACTTTGCCATCGGGGCAGTTTTACAACAGCAGGTACACGGCGAATGGCAACCCCTAGCATTCTTTTCGAAACGACTGAATCCTACTCAATGCCGTTATAGCACTTTTGGTAGAGAGTTATTAGCTGTTTATTTAGCAATCAAGCACTTTCGACATATGCTGGAAGGTATATCTTTTACTGTCTTTACAGACCATAAAGCTCTAACGAAAGCCTTATCAGCAAAACAGGATAACTACTCTCCGCGTGAACTACGACATCTCGAGTTTATATCTCAGTTCACCTCCATTCTGCGACATCTAAAGGGTAAAAACAATGAAGTGGCAGATGCTTTATCACGTATGCACATTGACAACATTGTATGCCCAGGCGTCGACTACGAACGTCTCTCATACTTACAACGAGATGATGCCGAACTAAAAAAGATCCTGTCTTCTAAAACAACATCTTTAAAACTCGACGCAATTCCTTTTGGCACGACAAAAATAATTTGCGACACCTCCAGCAGGTATGAGACATACAGTATTCGAGAAGTTACATAACTTGTCTCATCCCGGTGTCAGAGCTTCTATCAAACTACTGAAAGAAAGATTTATATGGCCGAACATTAACAGCGATGTTAAGAAATGGACACGAAATTGCTTGTTTTGTCAAAGAGTCAAAACCAACCGTCATACCAATGCACCACTTGGTCGCTTTCCTAACCCTGACTCTAGATTTGAACATATACATGTAGACACAGTTGGTCCACTACCTCTTTCCAATGGTTTCAACTACATTCTAACTTGTACCGATAGATTCACTCGTTGGCCAGTAGCAGTTCCATTAGCCGACGTCCCCGCTGAAACAGTAGCTAAAGCTTTGATCGAAAACTGGATAGCTAACTTTGGTGTCCCATCCATTATCACTACAGACAGAGGTGCTCAGTTTGAAAGCCGACTTTTTCACCAGCTAACTGAATTACTGGGCATTAAACGAATACGAACAACCGCCTACCACCATAGTTCCAACGGTATGGCTGAACGACTTCATCGACAACTCAAAGCTGCGCTCGCTGCTTCTTTGACTCAAAACGACTGGTCAACCAAACTCCCACTGGTACTGCTTGGTATACGAGCTGCTCTAAAGAAAGATATTGGCTGCTGTGTTTCCGAACTAGTCTATGGAACAACATTACGATTACCAGGAGAATTTTTCACCCCGGGTAACCAAGTTCCACAAGATATGACTGGTTATGTGCACCAGCTAAAACAACACATGAACGAACTTAAGATATCACTTCCACGCCAGCAGGAACGAACGTCATACATCCCGCCACAACTGACATTGCACTCACGTCTTCATCAGGAGAGAGGGTGTACAACGACCACTTCAACTTGCTTACGATGGCCCATTCAAAGTTCTAAATAGAAATGATAAAGTTATCACGATAGAACGACTGAATAAAGCAGAAGCCATTAGTGTCGACAGAGTCAAACCAGCGTTCATCGATGATTTCGAAGCCAACAATAAAGACCAGCTGAACGACGTGCCAACACCTACATCCACGCAAGCTTCAACGTCGCCAGAGAAACCTATGAAAACAACACGCTCTAGTAGGAGAGTTCATTGGCCTAAACGTTATGTGCAAATCATCAATATATAACTTATTACGAATTTTCATTTTTATTATCTTTATT